GTGTCTACTTCTTTAACCTTATCCGATAATCTAAATCATGCACCTAGTGCAATCATTCTTTGAACCGAGACAGACTACTGACATATAAATGGATGTTACAGTGATTTCAACATCACCGGTCAAAGTCAGCATTTCGTAAAATCTATGGTCGTTATAATGACCTTGGCACCTGATCTCACCTCTCATTGTTCACTTTTCATTAATTTGTTTATAGATTTATTTTTATGACTGTTCGATATCTTCACCTTTTTCTTCAAGAATAATGCTAAGAACACATTTAATCCATCTATCAAAAGGCAGCTGTCTAAAATATTACCATAGACTTCGAACTCTTCAATGAACAAAAGTATTAAATACAATATATGTCTTAGGCTTTATTTCTTTTTATTTTTTGAAAACACAACAATACACAAATATGAAATATAAAAATGCATTGAATCTCTCCTCCCTGTAAAAACAATTAAGCATATCAGTATATACAGGCTCTGAATTTAATTTTTTTTAACTATATCATAGGAAATATACAATGTCATCCCTTTTACTTCTCTCTAGTGTAAGTACCTGCATTTAAATTATTATCTACTAATATACTTAATACATGGATTAAATGATAAAATAATAAACAATACTAATCATGCAAAATATGAAATTCATATAGTGCATTGCCTTTTCTTTCTTCAGATATAAACATATCAATATATACAAGCATCGACTTTGCAAAGATATCAGAGACAAATACAAAATGATCATCCAGTACAGACTCGCAAAAATTGTAATAAGACAATTTATTTATGAATTATTAATTTCTTTATAGATTGGAGAATTGAACGATAAACAGTTTTTCAACCGAGAGAGATTACTGACAGATAAGTGGATTTCCAACTGAAAGTCAGCATTTCTTGTATTCTTTGGTCATTATAATGACCTTGTTAGCAAATTTAACCTATTATTAGGTTGTATTTTGGCCTTTGTTGTTATACTGTATTTGTCACTAGAATGCTTCATCTAACTAATCTATACATAGGATGCACCGGTCAACAGGGGATGCTTACTCCTCCTGGGCATTTCCAGGGCATCATACTTGATTTCGGTTAAGATACATATCTGTTGTTTATGGATTTATTTTTAGATACATCCCTTTTCGTTATCTTCGCGCCTCTTTAATCAAGGATAATGATGCTAAGAATACATTTTATTTATTAAAATGCAGAACAGTGTACCTGCCTAGAATTACCATAGAGTTAGAACTCTTGAATGAGCTGAATTTAGAAGAGCTTCATTCCTTCAAAAGAATTTATCTTCATTTTTGAAAACACTCCAGTACACCCTAGCGAAATGTAAATATAACAAAATATTAACTTTCTCTTTCCTTTAGAACAATACATGTATCAGTATACACAGACACTTCATTTTAGCTTTGCTATGATATCGTAGGAAAACACAGAATTCTAACAATATGTTTTCATTTAGAGTAAAAATTTGCATATAAGATGTTGTTCTACAAACACAGTTTGATAAATTAATAAACCAATAGATGCTGAATTTAAGTATAAACTAAAGGTATTGTGAGCAATGAGCGCACTAAATGATACCCCCGCCTCCCAAATGTACATGGTTATAATGGCAAAGTCCATGTTTTAGTGTAGGAATCCCAAAGTATGTCGGATCAAAAAGTAAAATAAAAGATGCACAATATGCATTAAAGATTCTTTGAAATTTTCATTAAATTTCACTCGGTGGTAAAAGAGGAGTTGCGGATAAGAGATGATGGGTACCCAAAACGTAACAGACAGACGGACGCACGGACAGCTAGACGGATGGACATACCAATTACTATATACAATCCCAATTTTCAAGCCCGGGGGGTGGGGGGGGGAGGTATAAAAATTATCAACACTGTACAAGCAAAATATTCAATCACACTGCAATAACGTTCTTTTACCTTTAAAAGAAAATAAACAAATCAGTATATGCAAGCACTGAAGTAAAATCGCAAAGATATTATTGGCAAATACGAATTGATAAACAGTCCACCTAGGCCTCCTGGAGTGAATACTTGCAAACAATTGTTTCTTCAGACGTGTTTTTTATACCCCCGCTTGAAAAGTGGGAGGGTATATAGTTAACGGTATGTTCATCCGTCCGTCTGTACGTCCAGGTGTTCGTCCGTCCGTATATTACGCTTAGGGTACCCATCTCCTATCCGCAACTCCTCTCATACTACTGAAGGAAATTTAATGAAACTTTCACACAATCTTTAATGCATATTGTCATTGTGCACCTCTTATTTTTTCTTTTTGATCTGACATATATTTTGGATTTTCTAGAGCAAAACATGGATACTCTCATATATTCATATAGGTGGCGGGGGTATTGTTTAGTGAGCTCATTGCTCACAGTACCTCTAGTGAATTCGTTTAAAAGTATACGATTTTAATGATATACAAATAAACTGCGCAAAACAGATTTCAAGAGTTAACATTCATGTTCTTCATTTTATTTAATACAATGTAAAGCAGTCTTGTTTAATTGTTAATTCTTCTTCTGAAATATTCGTATTTCTTCTCACTAATGTGAAATCATGTAATTGTTTCGTAAAACATTAATGTACATTAATTTTTTTCACAATGCAATAAATAAAATCATTTAAATAAATACCACAAATTACTCCAGAAATTTCTTCTTACTTCATTGAACATATTTTGAAGAAATATATAAGAAATAAAATGATTTGAAAAATCATAATGATTGGTAAAAATAATGATTCAAAAATCACTTTGATAATGATTTGAAAAATAATAGTGTTTTGAAAAAAAAAATAATATTTGAAAAATAAACGGTATAGGTAAAAAAGAAATATTCATATTATGTACACATTTGTGCATAATATAATGTAACACTTACTTGTATTGTAATCTAAAACATCATATGGATATAAATATTGAATACAAATCCTTCTTCTTCCATTTTCGAAAGGAAGATTAATTGATTATTTTACTATGTATTCTATTATAAAACTAACATTACAATAACACTGTGTAAGAAACGTCCACATAATGTATAGTGGACATATTTTCTTGTCTCGTTTAGAAAAGGTTTTCCCCTTGACATTGACAAGATTATTCTTTCGAACATAACTGGCTTTCAATTTTTCAAGGATGATCTGTGTCAATATTGTTTGTAAATAATTCATAGTTTTTTGAGAAATCTATGGGGGGATATATATGAGAAGTGTCAATTATTTAAAGAGGGTACAAAAATTCTTTCGCACAGGGGACATAAAAAGATTCCAGAATGGACAGAGCAAGTCAGACCAAAAAACATCCAAAAAAAAAAAAAACAAGAGGCCCATGGGCCTTATAGGTCACCTGAGCATTATTCAACAACTTTCCAGTGATTGAATTTGATCCATGTTTTAAGTGTAGCATTTACAATTTGGTCATCATAACTATACACTTAACAGTTCCTTAGTTTGGTTGCTTAATACCCATAGGCATGGTAGGGGAACAAAAAATGCATTTCAACAAATCAGTAATATTCAGCAATAATCAGCTGTGCCACTACCACACATGAACCCTTTACTCTTAGGCCTAGATCCACACATTGCACAATTTTTGGAAAGGCATCCTTGCTTTTCAAAAATATTTGATAAATACCAAGGAGCACATTTCAAACCATTCATTTTCAATATAAGTACAGCCCCCCCCCCCTCTATGGTACAACTGACCCTGGGGTCTTGAAATTTACAATTCTTGAAGATTAGGTCCCTTGCTCATAACTATATAGGTATTTCATCTGCTTAAAGTCTAGGAGCAAAGAAGAAAATATTCAAAGATTTAATGTTTTTTCATTATACATGCATAATCAATACACCCCCAACACCAGAATCCCTGACCCTGGGGCCATAAAATTCACAATTTTGGTAGAGGCATTCTTGCTCATCATAACTATGTACTTAGTTAGTTTAATTAAAACCCAGGAGCAGAGAAGAAGATTTTCAAAGAATTCATGTATTTTCACTATATTATCAATAGAGCCCAGCCCTTACCTCAGAACCCCTGACCCTGGGGCCATAAAATTCACAATTTTGGTAGAGGCACTCTTGCTCATCATAACTATGTACTTAGTTAGTTTATTTGATACACAGGAGCAGAGAAGAAGATTTTCAAAGAATTCATGTATTTTCACTATATAATCAATAGAGCCCCACCCTTACCCCAGAACCTCTGACCCTGGGGCCATAAAGTTCACAATTTTGGTAGAGGCACTCTTGCTCATCATAACTATGTACTTAGTTAGTTTATTTAATACCCAGGAGCAGAGAAGAAGATTTTCAAAGAATTCATGTATTTTCACTATATAATCAATATAGGCCCGCCCTTACCCCAGAACCCCTGACCCTGGGGCCACAAAATTCACAATTTTGGTAGAGGCACTCTTGCTCATCATAACTATGTACTAAGTTAGTTTATTTAATACCCAGGAGCAGAGAAGAAGATTTTTAAAAAAAATAATGCATTTTCACTATATACTTTTTTAGCCCCGCCCTAGCACAAGTACCCCTGACCCCAGGGCCATGAATTTCACAATTTTGGTAATGGACTCAATGCTGATTACAATCATGCAAACAGTTTGACTGCTTGATGTCCAGGAGTAAAGAAGAAGTTTTTTAAAGATTGCATTAATTTTAATTGTTTTGGCCCAACCCCTCAGGCCCCAGTGGGGCAGGAATCATGAAATTCACAATTTTTGTTCCACTTCACCCATAGATGCTTTGTGCCAAATTTGGTTGAAATTGGTTCAGTGGTTGCAGAGAAGAAGCTGAAAATGTTCAAAAATTTACGACCGATTGACGACGAACGACGGACGACGACGGACGAAAACAGATAGCAATAGGTCACCTGAGTGACTCAGGTGACCTAAAAAACTTTTTACATCATTTTGAAATGATTATAAACTAAACTTATTCATACATAGCAATTACGCTAAATAAAAAGGCAATAATGACAAATGAAATACAATGACGTTCACTGACTTCTCAGACAACAGCACTTTACTGGAAGAAAAACATGATCTAATATGTAAAATATATTTATCATTTTTATTATCTTGGTCTGATGATATTCAGGCTATGAACAAGTCCCCATATACTATATTTTATTATGAATAGACTAATTATTAATATTGTATTTATTTTTTAATCGTATTTAGTAAGGTTTTCGATTTTTTGTTTCCATATTAGTAGACTAGAAATAAATAGTCAAGTTTTTTTACCATATTTTTTCAAATCGCTAACTTGATTTTGTTAGTTTTCTTTTTTTTTTACAACAGGTACATGTCCTATGAAAAAAAAGAGATTGTCCTAGACTGCTGATTTTCGTTATCACATTTGTTGACGTCGGCACCATGTTCAATTAGTTTTTCTATAACAGGAAAATGACCTTGTAGTGATGCAATAGTCAGAGATGACTGACCTTTATTATCACATTTGTTGATGTCGGCACCATGTTCAATTAGTTTTTCTACAACAGGAAGATGACCATTGTATGATGCTTTATGCAGAGATGACCAACCTTGTTCATCACATTTGTTGATGTCGGCACCATGTTCAATTAGTTTTTCTACAACAGGAAGATGACCATTTAATGATGCTTTATACAGAGATGACCGACCTTTTTCATCACATTTGTTGATGTCAGCACCATGTTCAATTAGTTTTTCTACAACAGGAAGATGACCATTCAATGATGCTTTATGCAGAGATGACCGACCTTGTTCATCACATTTGTTGATGTCAGCACCATGTTCAATAAGTTTTTCTATAACAGGAAAATGACCTTGTAGTGATGCGATAGTCAGAGATGACCGACCTTTATTATCACATTTGTTGATGTCAGCACCATGTTCAATTAGTTTTTCTACAACAGTAAGATGACCATTGTATGATGCTTTATGCAGAGATGACCAACCTTGTTCATCACATTTGTTGATGTCGGCACCATGTTCAATTAGTTTTTCTACAACAGGAAGATGACCATTTAATGATGCTTTAAACAGAGATGACCGACCTTTTTCATCACATTTGTTGATGTCAGCACCATGTTCAATTAGTTTTTCTACAACAGGAAGATGACCATTCAATGATGCTTTATACAGATATGACCGACCTTGTTCATCACATTTGTTGATGTCAGCACCATGTTCAATTAGTTTTTCTACAAATGGAAGATGACCATTTAATGATGCTTTATGCAGAGATGACCGACCTTGTTCATCACATTTGTTGATGTCGGCACCATGTTCAATTAGTTTTTCTACTACAGGAAGATGACCATTGTATGATGCTGTATGCAGAGATGACCGACCTTGTTCATCACATTTGTTGATGTCAGCACCATGTTCAATTAGTTTTTCTACAACAGGAAGATGACCATTGTATGATGCTCTATGCAGAGATGACCAACCTTCATTATCACATTTGTTGATGACGGCACCATGTTCAATTAGTTTTTCTACAACAGGAAGATGACCATTCAATGATGCTTTATACAGAGATGACCGACCTTTTTCATCACATTTGTTGATGTCAGCACCATGTTCAATTAGTTTTTCTATAACAGGAAGATGACCATTTTGTGATGCAAAAAGCAGAGATGACCAACCTTCATTATCACATTTGTTGATGTCGGCACCATGTTCAATTAGTTTTTCTATAACAAGAAGATGACCATTGAATGATGCTATATGCAGAGATGACCCACCTTCATTATCACATTTGTTGATGATGGCACCATGTTCAATTAGTTTTTCTATAACAAGAAGATGACCATTGGATGATGCTGTATGCAGAGATGACCAACCTTCATTAGCACATTTGTTGATGTCAGCACCATGTTCAATTAGTTTTTCTAAAATGGAAAGATGACCATTGAATGATGCTGCATGCAGAGATGACCGACCTTGTTCATCACATTTGTTGATGTCAGCACCATGTTCAATTAGTTTTTCTACAACAGGATGATGACCATTGTATGATGCTCTATGCAGAGATGACCAACCTTCATTATCACATTTGTTGATGACGGCACCATGTTCAATTAGTTTTTCTACAACAGGAAGATGACCATTCAATGATGCTTTATACAGAGATGACCGACCTTTTTCATCACATTTGTTGATATCAGCACCATGTTCAATTAGTTTTTCTACAACAGGAAGATGACCATTCAATGATGCTGTATGCAGATATGACCGACCTTTTTCATCAAATTTGTTGATGTCAGCACCATGTTCAATTAGTTTTTCTATAACAGGAAGATGACCATTTTGTGATGCAAAATGCAGAGATGACCAACCTTCATTATCACATTTGTTGATGTCGGCACCATGTTCAATTAGTTTTTCTACAACAGGAAGATGACCATTCAATGATGCTCTATGCAGAGATGACTGACCTTGTTTATCACATTTGTTGATGTCAGCACCATGTTCAATAAGTTTTTCAATGACATCCACGTAACCAAATTCTGACACAACGTACCGGGGAGATTGACCTTTTCCTTCAGATATGTTACAGTCGGCACCATGTTCAATAAGTTTTTCTATAACAGGAAATTGACCTTGTAGTGCTGCGATAGTCAGAGATGACCGACCTTTATTATCACATTTGTTGATGTCAGCACCATGTTCAATTAGTTTTTCTACAACAGGAAGATGACAATTTAATGATGCTCTATGCAGAGATGACCAACCTTGTTCATCCCATTTGTTGATGTCAGCACCATGTTCAATTAATTTTTCTACAACAGTAAGACGACCATTGTATGATGCTTTATGCAGAGATGACCGACCTTGTTCATCACATTTGTTGATGTCGGCACCATGTTCAATTAGTTTTTCTACAACAGGAAGATGACCATTGTATGATGCTGTATGCAGAGATGACCGACCTTCATTATCACATTTGTTGATGTCGGCACCATGTTCAATTAGTTTTTCTACAACAGGAAGATGACCATTGTATGATGCTTTATGCAGAGATGACCAACCTTGTTCATCACATTTATTGATGTCGGCACCATTTTCAATTAGTTTTTCTACAACAGGAAGATGACCATTTTGTGATGCAAAATGCAGAGATGACCAACCTTCATTATCACATTTGTTGATGTCGGCACCATGTTCAATTAGTTTTTCTACAACAGGAAGATGACCATTTAATGATGCTTTATACAGAGATGACCGACCTTTTTCATCACATTTGTTGATGTCGGCACCATGTTCAATTAGTTTTTCTACAACAGGAAGATGACCATTTAATGATGCTTTATACAGAGATGACCGACCTTTTTCATCACATTTGTTGATGTCAGCACCATGTTCAATAAGTTTTTCTACAACAGGAAGATGGCCATTTAATGATGCTCTATGCAATGATGACCAACCTTGTTCATCACATTTGTTGATGTTGGCACCATGTTCAATTAGTTTTTCTACAACAAGAAGATGACCATTTAATGATGCTCTATGCAATGATGACCAACCTTGTTCATCACATTTGTTGATGTCAGCACCATGTTCAATTAGTTTTTCTACAACAGGAAGATGACCATTTAATGATGCTCTATGCAATGATGACCAACCTTGTTCATCACATTTGTTGATGTCGGCACCATGTTCAATTAGTTTTTCTACAACAGGAAGATGACCATTTAATGATGCTTTATGCAGAGATGACCGACCTTGTTCATCACATTTGTTGATGTCAGCACCATGTTCAATTAGTTTTTCTACAACAGGAAGATGACCATTCAATGATGCTTTATGCAGAGATGACCGACCTTGTTCATCACATTTGTTGATGTCAGCACCATGTTCAATTAGTTTTTCTACAAATGGAAGATGACCATTTAATGATGCTTTATGCAGAGATGACCGACCTTGTTCATCACATTTGTTGATGTCGGCACCATGTTCAATTAGTTTTTCTACAACAGGAAGATGACCTTTGTATGATGCTGTATGCAGAGATGACCGACCTTGTTCATTACATTTGTTGATGTCGGCACCATGTTCAATTAGTTTTTCTACAACAGGATGATGACCATTGTATGATGCTCTATGCAGAGATGACCAACCTTCATTATCACATTTGTTGATGTCGGCACCATGTTCAATTAGTTTTTCTACAACAGGAAGATGACCATTCAATGATGCTGTATGCAGAGATGACCGACCTTGTTTATCACATTTGTTGATGTCGGCACCATGTTCAATTAGTTTTTCTACAACAGGAAGATGACCATTCAATGATGCTTTATGCAGAGATGACCGACCTTGTTCATCACATTTGTTGATGTCGGCACCATGTTCAATTAGTTTTTCTACAACAGGAAGATGACCATTTTGTGATGCAAAATGCAGAGATGACCAACCTTGTTCATCACATTTGTTGATGATGGCACCATGTTCAATTAGTTTTTCTATAACAAGAAGATGACCATTGAATGATGCTATATGCAGAGATGACCCACCTTCATTAGCACATTTGTTGATGATGGCACCATGTTCAATTAGTTTTTCTATAACAAGAAGATGACCATTGGATGATGCTGTATGCAAAGATGACCACCCTTCATTAGAACATTTGTTGATGTTGGCACCATGTTCAATTAGTTTTTCTAAAATGGAAAGATGACCATTGAATGATGCTGCATGCAGAGATGACTGACCTTTTTTATCACATTTGTTGATGTCAGCACCATGTTCAATTAGTTTTTCTATAACAGGAAGATGACCATTTTGTGATGCAAAATGTAAAGATGACCAACCTTCATTATCACATTTGTTGATGTCGGCACCATGTTCAATTAGTTTTTCTACAACAGGAAGATGTCCACGTTGTGATGCCGTAAACAGAGATGACCGACAGTCTTTATCACATTTGTTGATGTCAGCACCATGTTCAATAAGTTTTTCAATGACATCCACGTAACCAAATTCTGACGCAACGTACAGGGGAGATTGACCTTTTCCTTCAGATATGTTACAGTCGGCACCATATTCAAGTAGGTTGGTTATCGTTTTTAGATCACCAATTCTAGTTGGAGTCCACAAAGCTGGGTAAAAACTATTTGTGATGTTCAAATTTGCTCCATTATCAATCAAATATTTCACAACATTATGTTTCATTTTCAAACAAGCAGCAATCACTGGAGTTATGAATCTGTGTCGGTTCTCCGATCTATTAAGATTTACTACTGGCATTCTGTTAATAATTGTCTTCCCAAATTTTTCTACCAAAAATTTTACCATGTTTAAATTTCCATCAAAACATGCTAAAACAAGTAATCTTACTTGTTCTTCCTGTGTAGATCCAAAAACAATGTCTTTGTATTCATCCTGCCTACTCACCAAGTTTATCAATAATTTCAGTATATCAAGATGACCATAATAAATTATGAAACTGATAGCGCGTATTTCATAGGTATTCTTTATGCCACTACATTTGAGGTCAAGGAGAAGGTTTTGTCTTTCATACTCTCTATGTCCAACTGTTTCCTTGGCATTTTTTTTTATTTGTTCCTGTGAGTCAAGAATAACACTGTCAAAGCATTCTTCCCTCGGTAATAAGAAATATTTTTTGACATCATTGTACGGCGCCAAAATGCTTAAGAAATGCTGCTGAAAGTCTTTATTATTCAATGCTTTATTTAGAAACACATCGTGTAATTTTCCTTTCTTAACATCCTCGTATAATCTTTTTGCAAGATTTTCATACTGTGTCTTTTTAAGTTTGATACAGAGGTCGTTTTTGATGCCTGAGTTTTCTAAAACAACTCTATTTGCAATGAATATGCTGTTCATATGGTCTATAATTTGCTCAGGAAACTGCTGGCCATAATGAAAGGCAACGACTTCAAATATCAAATCATGGATAAAAGTATATCTTTGAGCATTTTCCATGATATATGTACCTCTTAGGTGTGATAATTCCTGAATTATTTCCCAGATTTGAGGATATCCTTTAACTTTGCAAGATCTGCACACTAGATTTAGCATTTTGTTGTCAAGTAACATTTCCTCAGATAGGATATTGTTGTTCAACATACAGAGAACCATGGAAGAATATTGCAGCTTATTTCTTGTTTTAATTTTTTCTATTTCTAAAAGGAAACATTTATATGGATATTTAAAAAAGTCTGATCTATATTCTCTAATGAATGTATCGCTGCTAAATATTTGACAAAGAAGTGGAAACATGAACTCCCCTTTTTCATGCAGAAATTTTAAGTCGAGATCACATGAAATCCCTCTATTCTTCAAGTGAGATTCTAATATACCTTCTTGGTCTTCCAAAGTAAGAGTGTTATCTTCATTATTTAAGTTAAGGATGGTATCCTCTTCAAAAAACATTACATCTAATTCTTTTGCCTCATTGTACACTGCTAATCTACAGGACATAAATAACTTTGACCTCTTTGATTGCTTATCTAGAACATCTTCGATTTGTTCTCTATGCCTTTCTAAATCTGATAACAAACTTCTCTCTAAGGTAAACACACCTAAAACATCATCTAAGACAAATATTTGCGGTCTGTGTACGTCACCAAAGTTGATGATGTCCTCAGGTTTGGAGATTGGAACAATCTGATATTTGGACTCCAGCTGTAAAGCGATGTGGCGGATTAATGCAGTTTTCCCAGACCCAGGAGATCCAATCACAGCAACAATTTGATTGGAAATGAAAAATTCTTTCATGCTTTTAAAGGAGGATATTTCAAAGAAAACACTTTCCCTCCATTTGTTCAAAGTTCTTTTATGTTGATCTGGAAAATGAAAAATTTGGGGACATAAAATATAAAACATATCAATATCATTTTTAATATCACAGACTCTTTGCTTAACCTTGTTAATCATTTTTAAGACATTTGCACTTCCATACCCGACAGGTGCAATTAAACGTTAAAACTATTGTTTTGATTCCCTGCTTATTCAATCTCAAGATTATTCATGTAGTGATTATATATGATTATGAAATTACTGTACATATATTAAAGTGACATATCGGTCCAAGAGCCGGATGTTATGTATTTACGTTTTTATTGTATCTTTTTGTTGTCTATACACTTGTCACTATAATAAAATATTGACTTACGTACTTACTTACTGTAGTGACATAACATAATTGATTTTTTTTCTTTAAGTAAATTAACTGTCCGAAAGAATTAAGGAATTTATCGATAGTTACAATCATTTTTTTTATTCAATTTCAGAATTTGCCAATTATTTGAAACACATTTTGTTCAGTCTACTATTTAGCTTTCGTGATTGAGAAAGAGCCTACAATAATGTGTGATTCCTAATGTATTTTTTGTGTATGTGTTTCAATTACAAACAATGAAGTCGTTGTGTTTGTAAGCATTATTTTAGGTTTGTTGGTTCGTTGCTTAACGTCCCTCTTGGGAATTTTTCACGCATTTGGAGACGCCACCAATTGCCGAGGAAAAGCTGCAAATTTTGTTCTATGCTTGGCACTCAGGGCCATTGAACAGTGCGGGATCTTCTAGTGGTAGAGCGTTCGCTTCGTGATCGTGAGGCCTGGGTTTGATTCTCGTTCGCGGGGCCGTGTTAAACCTAAGACGTAAAAATAGGTAGTTGACAGTGCATTGAAATAACCCATTATTTCTGTTTAATTGAATGTTGAGCTAAATATTTATATCGTAAAGGATCTACCGTACATAGCCCTAGTGTAAAAGTAAGCGTCAACTGTAAAAGTCAGCGCTCCTCGTAAAAGTCCAATAGGCACTGTCAGATGTGTATATAAACTGTGAGATTTCGTTACACCCGATTGCACACTCGAAACTCGTGGCCAACATGTAGTACTTCTTTGGGGTCTTAGATTTCTGCTTTTCCCTTTGTTTTTATGTGCATTTTCTGTTTGTAAATAATGTATTCGACGGGTTGACCCCAAAGTGGGATAGAGGAATAGCCCTTATCAAATCATCTTCAATAACTAACCCTAATCTCTCAGGTGGGTTTTAGAACTAACCCTTATCTCTCAGGTGGGTTCTGAAACTAACCCTAATCTCTCGGGTGGATTCGAGAACCAACCCTAATTTCTCAGGTGGATTGGAGAACTAACCTTAATCTCTCATGTGGGTTCTGGAACTAACTCCAATCTCTCGGGTGGGTTCTTGAACTAACCCTAATCTCTCAGGTGGATTCGAAAACTAACCCTAATCTCTCAGGTGGATTCGAGAACTACCCTAATCTCTTAATTGGGTTTTGGAACTAACACTGATCTCTCAGGGGGTTTGAGTACTAAACGTAATCTCTCAGTCTGGTATGAATACTTACCCTTATTTTTCAAGGTGATTTGAAAACTAACTCTTATATCTCAGATGGGTTTGAGAATTAAATAGAGGTGTCAACTGTCAACCTGTCGACTTTTGTGATGACATCATAGGTTTACCAAGAAGAGGAGTCAACTGTCGACCTTTGTGGTGACACTGTTGATTAGTAAGAGGTATCAACTATCGATCTGTCGACACTTTTGATGTCAATGTAGGTTTAATATGGAATTGTCAGACATTTTTTGTAAAGGGGACTTCTTATGGACTATTTATAAAAGGATTAATTTGGAGTAATAAGGCAAAATATTCCCACTATCTACTATAAAAGGAACTATTTCTTATCAAATTTTAAATTTGAAAGATGTTAATCGGTTTTATGGAACTACTTATCCGTATACCCTAGTTGAACCGATGCATCATTAATGTGAGTTTGGTCTGCAATTTTAACCAAATAAACTTTAAACATTTTAACTTCGCTCAATTTTCCGGAATCGTAAGGTCAGTTCCAACATTTAAATGAAGTTTGGAAGCTTCCATTTTTAGATAAAACATCCATGAAAGATAAGTTATTATATCAATCTGCACCAAAACATTAACATAGTTATTCATATGAAGATGTTAATGATTATTCAGCATCTGAGTCCAGACAGTTACAAATAAGCATATTTGGTGCCTCATCCATGCGACTCCAACTCTGAACAACTAAGGGCATGTAAATACTTGGAAAAAATTCTGTTCAAAATCAAACTAAACAGGGATGCTGTGACATTGACCCCTGCAAGTTTAAAATTTCATTGTGGCTTCAACTTACTCCTGGGGGTCATGATTTGAACAAAGTTGATTCTACACCACATAAGAATGCTTTCACTTAAATACGTCCAATTTTGCTGTTCTTGATAAGAAGATTTTTGAAGATTTTTCCTATATATTCCAATGTTAAACTTTGATCGTCAATTGTGGCCCCATCCTAATAGCCCCTGTAAGTAATGATCTGAACAAGAGGCCCAAGGGCCTTGAATCGCTCTTCTGATAAATTGTACAACATATCACTTGTATTTGAAGCCTCTAACCCTAAGTATCCTAAGACCAAAGTTGCACCACCTGACAAAGTTTGATGATTCTTAGCCAATTAGGACTACTTCTTGGTCTACATTCTTGGAAAACCCAAAATGCATCAACTTACACAGTTTGATTATTCTAAGCCAATAAATACCTAAGATACTTAAATATAGCCATAAAATGTCGAAAGTAGGTCACTGTGACCTACTTTTTAGTCAACATTTTCCGAAAACCCAAGACGCATCAACTGACAAAGTTTGATGATTCTAAGCCAATAAGTGCCAGAGATACTTAAATATAGCCATAAAATGTCGAAAGTAGGTCACCATGACCTACATTTTAGTCTACATTTTTCAGAGTCCAAAGATGCATCAACTGACAAAGTTTGATGATTCTAAGCCAATAAGTACCGAAGATACTTAAATATAGCCATAAAATGTCAAAAGTAGGTCACCGTGACCTAATTTTTGGTCGGCATTCTTAGAAAACCCAAGATGCATCAACTGACAAAGTTTGATGATTCAAAGCCAATAAGTACCGGAGATACCTAAATATAGCCATAAAATGTCAAAAATAGGTCACCATGACCTAATTTTTGGTCGTCACTCTCCAAAAACCCAAGATGCATCAACTGACAATGTTTGATGATTCTAAGCCAATAAGTACCGGAAATATTTAAATATAGCCATAAAATGTCAAAAGTAGGTCACCGTGACCTAATTTTTGGTCCTCACTCTCCGAAAACCCAAGATGCATTAACTGACAAAGTTTGATGATTCTAAGCCAATTTGTACAGGAAATACTTAAATATAGCCATAAAATGTCAAAAGTAGGTCACCGTGACCTTATGTTTGGTCGACACTCTTCAAAAACCCAAGATGCATCAACTCACAAAGTTTGATGATTCTTAGCCAATAAATACCTAAGATACTTAAATATAGCCATAAAATGTCGAAAATAGGTCACCGTGACCTAATTTTTGGTTGTCACTCTCTAAAAACCCAAGATGCATCAACTGACAAAGTTTGATGATTCTAAGCCAATAAGTACCGGAGATACTTAAATATAGCCATAAAATGTCAAAAGTAGGTCACCGTGACCTTATTTTTGATCGTCACTCTCCGAAAACCCAAGATAAATCAACTCACAAAGTTTGATGATTCTAAGTCAATAAATACCTAAGATACCTAAATATAGCCATAAAATGTCAAAAGTAGGTCACCGTGACCTACATTTTGATCAACATTTTTCAGAGTCCCAAGATGCATCTCCTGACCAAGTTTGATGATCGTAGGTCTGAAGGTAATCAAAATATGCATTTTTAACAATTTGAAAACATATGCCTGCAAAATTCTAAAAGTAGGTCACAGTGACCTACTTTTTCTTAAATATGTTTTAAGGTCCCAATATGCAGCAACTTACAAGATTTGATGATTCTAACCCTTTCAGTGCCTGAAATAATGGGATTAAATGTTTTAAAATGGTTAAGTCATAAAGTTCAAAAAGTAGGTCACGGTGACCTACTTTTAGGTTGACATTGTTCAAGGACCCAAGATGCATCAACTGACTAAGTTTCATGATCATAGGATTTAAAGTGTCCAAAATATGCCTTCAAATCAATTTGAAAACAAATGCCTGCAAAATTAAAAAAGTAGGTCACCGTGACCTACTTTTGAGTTAACATGATGTGAAGTCCTAAGATGCATCAACTTACAAGATTTGATGATCCTAGCCCTTATAGTAAGCAAAATATAAACATTTTTATTAATTGTAAATTTAGGTCAACTTCAAAGTGACCTTGAGGCCACGCCCTTTGCCCCAGGGTCATGCCTTGAACAATTTTTAATCTTCAACATATCCTGATCCTTGTTTGTAAGTTTGGTGAAAATCTGCTTGGCGGTTCTGGAGGAGAAGATTTTTTAGCAACTAGTACTTTTGGTTTTGTTTTCCTAATTATCTCCCCTTGTTTTAGGGTCCCAACCCTTTTTTTAGTATTATAAATGGTAGCCCTTGGGCCAAGGATACCCTGTGGCAAATTTGGTACTGATTGGCCAAAGGGTTCTTGAGTTATGGCCAATATTCTAAAAAGTTAACGCACACCGCACACCGCACAAATGGCCATAGCATTAGCTCTTTGAGCCTTTGGCTCAGAAGAGCTAACAAACTTGAGTCCACTCTTCTTGTCAATGATTCAACATGAGTTTCATCTTTCCTGGTCCATTGGTTCTTAAAAGGAGTTTTTTAATGATGCCATTTTTCACTTTTCATAAATATCTTTCCTTTGAGTAGGGTTTAGTCCGTCATTAAAAAATTGAATCCACTTTACCCAAGTATACTCTATGCAATATTTGGTTGAAAACTGGCCCAGTAGTCCTGGAGAAGATTAAATTGTGAAAGTTTCCTGCGACGACAACGATTGCAACGCCAACGACGAAAAACCATGGACAAATTTTCATCAGAAAAGATCTCTTGAGCTTTCGAAATTCCTTCACCTTCTCCATCCGAAAATGATCACTTAAGTAATACACCTATTAGGAACGATTAAGCAATTGGCATTGAAGATATGGATGATGAAAAATTCCAATGCTTTAAGCGTAGAGGCATGCACTTTATACACTTAAGTATAAGATCATTACTTCCAAAGATGTCTGAAATCAGAATCATAGCACAAAAAACGAAAGCAGCAGTAATTGGGATATGTGAAACATGGCTAGACTCTTCAGTTAACGACTCAGAAATTCATATTGAGGGCTACTCTGTAATTCGCAAAGATAGAAATAGAAATGGTGGAGGTGTGTGTATGTTCATCAACAAGAAGTTTGCTTTTTCTCAACAACAAATCAATTCAGATGACACAGAATCTGTCTGGGCGGGAATCTACCTACCAAAAACAAAACCTTTTATAGTGGGTACAGTTTACAAACCACCCCAGGATCAACAGTTTCTTGGACATTTTGAGGAGTGCCTAGGGTGTCTAAGATCTGACTTAGATAACATTATTCTTGGCGATTTTAATATTTGTATGCAAAATAAGAAAAATCCATTATATGAAGGATATAAGCATGTTCTAAATTTGTTTGGGCTTAGCCAATTGATTTCAATTCCAACTAGAATCACTGAAATGGGCTCTTCACTAATAGATCATATTTTGGTAAACAATGATGAAAAATATGTTCAGGCAGGCACTATCACAATGGGTCTTAGTGATCATGATCTAATTTTTTGCACAAGAAAAATTTCTAAAGGTCAAATTAAAGAACATAACACGGTGAAGATTAGATCAATGAAACATTTTGATTCTGCTCTGTTTGTTGAAGAACTAGAAAAGGTAGACTGGACATCTTGTATATCATCTGATTGTGTTGATTCAAACTGGAATGCCTTCAAGGAAGTATTTTTGAATATTGTTAATAGATTTGCACCTGTAAAACAAGTGAGATTAAAACAGAGAACAGAACCTTGGATGAATCATGAAATCTTAGAACTTATTAATGAGAGAGATAGGCTTTTGAACATTTCTAGAAAAAGCAAAAATGATGAAGATCAGAAAAATTTTTCAAGGGTTAGAAATTTGGTTCCTTCGCCAAGCGCTCGGCACTAGAAGTGAAAGTCACGGGTCTTTCGGATATGACCTTAAAAACGTAGGTCCCGTGTCACGGTAGGCGTTGGCACGATAAAGAACCCTCACTGCTCAATGGCCCTGAGTGCCGAGTATAGGTCTAAATTTGAAGCCCTTCACCGGCATCGGTGACGTCTCCATATGAGTGAAAAATTCTCAAGAGGGACGTTAAACAATATACAATCAATCAATCAATCAAAGAAAGATTAAAAAGGCTAGGGAAGAGTATGTAACAGAAAAACTTGAAGAAAATAAGGATAATCATAAAAAACTTCGGGAACATTTGAAAGATTTAGGTTATAGAAATCAAAAGAAAGAAGAGAAAAAAATTGTTTTAAATATTAATGATGATATTAGTCATGATGACATGGATATTGCTAATCATTTTAATAACTTTTTTACTACAGTTGCATCAAAATTGGTGGAAGCTCTACCCACTGCAAAGGGCACATACAATGTTTTGTCAAATCATTTTAGAGGTTTTTATTCAAACAGAAATTTATACAACAATTCTCTTATTTTAAGTCCTGTGTCGGAGACTTTTGTGTATGAAGAACTATGTGGTCTTAGTACAACAAAAAGTACTGGTCTTGATGAGGTGTCAGCAAAATTTTTAAAAATAGGAGCAAGGGTTCTTAAATCACCTATAACTTTAATCATTAATCAATCAATAAGTTCTGGATGTGTACCAGAGAGTATGAAACAGGCTAGGGTCAAGCCTTTATTTAAAAAGGGTAGCCCACTCCAAGTGGGGAACTACAGACCAGTGAGTATTTTAAGCGTAGTATCAAAGATTTTAGAGAAAAGTGTCTATTGTCAACTTAATGAATTTTTACATAACAATAACATGTTGTATGAGTTTCAATCTGGGTTTTGGAGTAAATATTCTACTGATACATGCCTTATACATTTGTTGGACCATATTAGAGACAATAACTCTAAGGGATTATTTACAGGAATGATAATGTTACAAAAAGCGTTTGATACAGTGGACCATGAAATATTATGTAACAAATTAGACATTATGGGAATTGATAATCAATGGTTTAAGTCATATCTAACTGGCAGGTCTCAGGTGGTGGGTTACGGAGGTGTTGTATCTAAGTCAAAGAAAATTACTTGTGGGGTTCCCCAAGGGAGCATTTTAGGCCCTTTATTGTTTTTATGCTATGTTAATGATATGTCCATCAGTATAGATACAGATTGTAAACTCATTCTTTATGCTGATGATAGCGCTATTTTATACTCACATAGAGACCCTGATGTTATCTCTAACAAACTTGGGAAGGTGCTAGAGAAGTGTTCCGAGTGGTTAATAGATAATAAGTTATCTCTCCATCTTGGAAAAACAGAGTCTATCCTTTTTGGCCCAAGTCGCAAATTAAAAAAATGAATGTCAATTTGAGGTCAAATGTCACGATCATATTATCAAATCCAGTGAGTCTGTTAAGTATCTAGGTATCACAATTGATAAATTTCTAAAATGTAACCTAATAGTAGATGAGATCGGGGCCAAGGTCAATTCTAGACTGAAGTTCTTATACAGGAATGGAAAATGGTTAAATAAAAGATCCAGATTAACATTAGCATCTGCACTAATTCAGTGCTATTTTGATTACTGTTCATCAGCATGGTACGAAAGTCTGTCCAAATCTTTGAAAAATAAGTTACAAGTTCTTCAGAACAAAACAGTAAGATTTATTTTAAATCTGAATCCTAGAGCCAGGATCAATTGCGATCTTTAAGATTCAATAAATACACTACGTGTATCTGATCGTGTAAAACAGTTAAGACTAAATCATGTTTTTAACATCAATCATAGCCTAGCATCAAATTATCTAAATGAGAACTTTAATAGGAATAATAATGCTACTAGGGGAGCGTCCAATTTTAATTATCATGTACCCAGGGTTGGAGCATACAATGATTCAAATTTTTATTATCAAGCCATTTTAAACTGGAATTCTCTTCCATTGGAAGTAAAAACTATAGCCAATAGAGCTAGTTTTAAATCTGCTGTCAAGTTGCATCTTACACAAGAAGCTCGAAGGATGGAAGAAAGTATTTATATATAATATTTTTACAAGGGAATGAAAATTTTAAAAATAATTTGTATTAACCTAAAACTGTGATTATAAATGTATATGTATGTCAAATTATTTTATTCAGGCTAGGAAAATTATGTAATCCTCAATTTTATTTTTTATTTTTTGTCTATGCTGTCTTAGTCAATTAAATTATAATCAACTTGTACCATCTTAGGACCCCATTGGAAATAAGCATGTTTTATATATTGCTTTCATGGGTTATCCTAGGCAAAGATTGATTAAAAAGATGTTTATTTGTGTTGTATGTGATAAGATCTGTGTAAATCCTGTGATAATGATAACTGTGATGATACCTGGAGTGATATTGTTTTAATGTGATAGCTACATGTATGTGCTAGAACTTTTAAGCGATCCCTAATTAATTTTTGAATGTAATTTGTGTTATGATTTGTAATGAATTTGACTCTTTGCCTGAATAAACATAATAATAATAATAATAGCCTTCGGCTCAAGTGTGTAAAACAAAACTAATGCCGAGTTATATTGATAGAGCGATGTTGCCCATGAAACTCTTATGCAAACTAACCCGTTTAAGAAATAAATTACCTCTGACGTTTTCCGGTATGCAGGTTGATTTGTGCCTCTGTAAATCTTCTTTTAAATCATTTTGAAATTGCTTCTGAAGTTGGGAAGATATGTCTAATCTGGTCTCTAATGTTGTTTGAGTCTCTGCAAAACGAAAAAAAATGTAAAATTATATAATTTTAGCTCTTAGTAACCAACACGAATTACATAACAATAATTCCCTTTATTTCTATGAGCCTTGCTGAAGACCGGGCAATTTCGCAAATAATTGCATGTTAAGTTTTCAAGCTCATGTTTTTGCTTTTGCTTAGTTATATAGAATATAATACATTTTATTCATTGCTTTGAGCGGATGTTAGAATGCACGATAGAAATATACATTGTAAACACAATGATTGCGATACTCTCAGAAGTTTTAATTTCTCTGCTCACAATTTGAATTGCTTTTATTGAACCTTTGAGCATAATAACTGGTATCATAACATTTAATCAAACAAATTGAATACACAATGAGAATTAGAAACAGGCTTCTAAGTTTAAAGAAAATCAAAACCCTCTTCAAATTTAGGCTAAATTGTCTTGATAAATAATTTTACAAGAAACAAATATCTTGGCAGTTACATATTTCAAAAAATATTCCTTCTTTATGTAAGTAATGATCAAAGTAGCGGAAGCACCATAAAACTATGCCTTTTTTTCCTTTTATGGTGCATTATTGAGCAACCGTGAATGAAAATGTAATGCATCCAGTTAACACTAATTCAAACATACATTTTATAAAAAAATGTATTGGCAGGAATATTGATAAAAAAAATTAACTTGAAGCAACTTTTTCCTTCAATTATGAAGCAGCCAATATAAAATAATACATTTATGTTATTATATACATGTATTTGAATGTTTGCTTAGAGCCTTAAATGTTCACTTCATTTTTACCTTGTCTGCATTCAATTTTGAAGATTTTTTTTTCATCTAGTAAAAAATCCTTTTATACCTATTAATGACATTCGAAAATGATGTACAACTAACCCTCGAGGAAACTTATCCTGTCTGCTGTTTCTTTCTGATTGCATCCAATGTTTTCTAAAAATTAAATACATGTTGCTCTAGGTAATTTAGGAGTACATTTGTGTATCAAAATGAGGATCAAAAAATCAACATTCGAAAAAACATGTACAACTAACCCTCGAGGAGATATATCCTGTCTGCTGTTTCTTTCAGATTACTTCCAACGTTTTCTAAAAATGAAATGCATGTAGCTGTAATTATTTTTTAGTGGTAATTTGGGTGTACATTTTTATATCAACAGGAGGACAATTTGAAAATTGGGCTAATAATACTTCTTACAAAACAATCACCACATTGTTATTTCTAAGAAAAATAGAATTGTAGAAAACAAAAAAAAATAGTGATCTGGAAAAATTTTCTTTTTCTTTTCAATCAACAGTATAGTAGTGATTGATGTTTGATGCGTAAAAGATATTGTGCCTGACTTCAATCACGAACTTGAGTAACTATTGTTGAAGTAGAGTAAAATCGAACCCGATATAATTTAACTGGAGTGACGTAATGTTTCTACCATAGTTCTACCCTCATGTTTCTGTTGGTAGAACTATGGTAGAAAAACTACGTCACTCCAGTTAAATTATACATTGTATCGGATTCGATGTTACTCTAGTTCAACAACAGTTACTCAAGTTCTTATGATCGAAGTCAGCCTTTAGATAGATATTTCCGTTTATTTGATTTTCGTGTATCATACATTCAGCTCTTTTAACGTTAAACGTATATTTAAAGCTTATCTTTGCATATTCTTTCAATTTTTATATCAAATCAATATTTGATTATTTGTTAAAAAAAAATAAGTATACCCTGCAGTGTGCGAATGCATTCTTTGGTAGTCTGATCCTCGGCATATTGTTTTGCTAGTTGGTCTCTGTAATGCTTGTCTTGGACGGGATCCATTGTTGCGTGTCTCAAAATGTCAACTTCCTTCTCATAAAAATTTCCATTTGATAGGAATGTATCAATTTCTACTACTGCAACTCGAACTGACGACCAGATATCGTTAAATTCAGAGTTTGCGAGGGAGGGACGTGCAGAGTGCACAGTGCTATTTCGGGCCACTCGTACCCTTTCGATATTTGCAGAAAGGCATACATCATTAATATCTGGGACATTTCCCCACCCATTTTTATGTGGTGTAATGTTACATATGTTCCTTAAAAGAATGTACAACAGTGAAATATCAAAATCATCATAATTTCCAGAGTAAGACCCATTCCTTGGCAAAATTAGATCTCTCTGTTGTGGAGTTAGTCTCGGTAGATTATGCTTGGGTTTTATAATTTCAGCGGCAAATGTAGAAGGTGGAACCATTTTCCTAAGAACATCTCTCAGTTGATCGGTACAGGGTCCTAGTAAAAGACGACAAGCCCTGCTGGCATTCGTTGTCTCTTCTGTTGAGCTGTATGAACTACTGGTGGCCATGTTATTAACGCTAAATAGTCAAAAAGATTTTGTTCTCAATCTACAAAACAAGAGAGTAGGTTAATAAGTGCACAACCACTATAAAACTTAAATCCATGTTAGTAACACTCTAATGGGTACTTTTAAGTTCTAACTTGAACAGTTGGATATAAGGCATTCAATGAGGGAAAACCGATAAATAACATTTATTTCGTAATTTGTTATTATCACAATCCATTAAAACTGGAAGGAATATATTTGGTAGTCTGATAGAGTCATATTTTGAGTTAACAGATGCCTGGATATTTCAAAGTTTCTAAAATTCCGCTTAATAATTAGTTTGTATATTGAATTTGCATTCTACGGTGCTATTATAGTCAAACAATATTCTATTGAAAAAAACTATTAATCAAATTCTATACGTATAAATTATACAGCAAAAATATATTTTGAAAGTTTAAAACAAGGACACATACATGTAGGCCTATATGAATAAAAACAAAATATGATATACAGGAGAGTTAACAACAAAACAAACTCTTCTCCTTCAGCACCCACTGTTTGTACTTTTGATAAAATTCAAGGATGTGGAGTCATCTAAAATATTGTTTTTACTTTTTGTTGTTTAAGGAGATAGGATTATGAACGTTTTAGTTAATTTCGTGTCATTGTATGTTGCATTTGTATTCTACAATGTAAATATTGTTAAACATTTTTCTATTGAAAAAAAAAAAATTACTAAAATTTCAAACAAATAGGATTTTAGGTGCTTGAACATGGATTTGAAGCTTATATTTTCTCAATTTTTCTGTATGATACCATCTTTTATTTTTTGCTATAGCATTTCACCCGGACATATTAAAAAAATTTCCTTTATTTGGAAATTGTTGAAACTATACAAATTTTGAGATGCGTTTATCTGTTACATGCTTGTGGTTTCATAAAGCAAACTTTACGAAGAGTTTACTAACGAAATGTTAAGAAAAATGATCTGTGTAATAATGAAATATATTCAAACTGAATTACAGAAAATTCAGAGAAGAAATGTAAGAAATTAAAACAAAATGATCATTATTGTCCGTCCCTGATCAGCGGTGTGCACAGAGTTTATCATATTGAACACACGCGGTAATACGCAAACATTAACAAAATAAAACAGAGCTCGTGACCTGTTTACAAAAACGTTTTTATTATACCTCATATAAATAATAACAAAAAGGGAATCTGATTGGCCGCGGAAGTCACGTTCGCCCTGCAACAAAACGTCGTGTTTCACGCATTCGGATCACCTCGGCTGACTACCGTACCCTACATCTAGATGTAATCAGCCGAGATGTGTCGAATGTTTTCACGTCGTGTTCCACGATCGTGATGTCACAATGAGGCGAATATTATGATTACTACCATGTTCGCTCTGTTTATATCTTTGATTAATTATGTCGATACAAAATTGTAAAATATAAATATTTAGAAAAGTGTGTCCATGATCAGAGAATGATTGTTAATAGTGTGTGAATCAAATTGAATTGTAACGGAGGATTTCTTATGAAGCGCTGTATATATAGTGGTGTAACTTACGCCTGTATCATATTTTCCCATCTAATGTTTACTCTTTTTTACTTTATACATTGGATTTTCTTTTCTTAATTCCGGCATTGTTCTTGATTCGGTAGAATAAAAAAATATTGCATGAATGTTCGGGAGACATGTAGATTTCTTCACCCATGGGAAATAATTCCCTAGGGAATATGATTTTTCATGAGCGAAGAAATCTTCATGTCTCCCTCACAATTATATAATAATTGTTTAATAATGTTTCACAGTTATGTTTTATTCCCTACGTAAAGAAACCTTAAGGTACACCGTAATTCTGATAAAATATAAAAACAAATAGACATTTCTTATGAATACTCATCGGAGACTTGATCACGTGTTGATATTATCACCATGGCATGGAAATGACAAACTTTCATTGCTAAGTACTTACATCCGTGTAAAAACCAACATTACACAGCCAAGGAAGAGATACGAGAGACTGTTACTGTAAACACAATGTCCCAATTTTTTTTGTTAGTTTGTTTCTGTACTATCTTGAAGAGTAATTACACGAGTAAGTAAAGTCTTTAAAAACTGGGAAAAATACACACAAACTCATTGAAATTTACACAAACTTTAGAAAACACAGAACAGGCAACATTTGTCTGAAATTCAAATAGATAATTGAACTTGAATCACTTTTTTACTCATAATCTGAATTTTCAAAAATGTTAAATATGCACATAAATAAGCTTTCAAAAAGTGAATTTTGTATCAAATATGTAACTTGAATGTTATTAAAGATTTTCATTTTATAATTTTATATTCACGTCCTTTTTACAATGGTCATTAATTGATTTTTGTTTTTGGAGGGGGAGGAGGTATTAAGAAAAAAACCTTGTATTAGGAAAGTATATGTGTAATTAAAATTCTATGAAAATGGAAATTTAATAGGATATTTTTTTAAACTTTGAGCTCCACGGAGACCATAATTTATGTCCATTTTTTTCAGAATAATAAAATTAAACATGCTCTATGTTCTTTCTTTTTATTTATTATACCAATTCCCATTTTCTTACAACTAGATACATCGCACTATCATGTACGAGGATTGTCCCAGAATAAGATACCTTTTTCAATATTATTGTTTCACTAATATTATACATTTAAAAATTGGAATGCATTAAAATCAATACATTAAGAATAATTTTATGAAGTTTCAGTAAATTACATCTAAAGGTAACAATTTATCTAAATGTAACATTTTTCTCTTTGGTTAACGAATTAATCAAATTAGCTGCAATACCGATGACGTCAAAAACGTAATTCGTAATCCTTTAGATTTTAATCAGGAATTATGCCATTTGACTGCCAAACAAAAGACTTGATTAGGTAGGTACATGTACCGGAATATTTAACTTTGATTTTTTTTTATCTTTAATGCATATCCAATCAAGAAAAAGTTTTGTGGTTATGTCACAATTTTAAATAATCAAATATATTATTTAAATTGTCCGATAATCTGGTCTGAATTACGATGATTATTATGGTACTGAAAAATAGCATTAACATCACAATAGTACTGCCTTAAATTGCAATGCCTCTCCACGCCAAGTCCGTTGGTTTTAAATATTAAACAGCTGGTCTCGGAAGAACTAAGTACAAGTTCTTATTTCTGGAGGGTGTCGAGGCTATACCTTCTCTCTAGGACAGATGTGAAAGAAAGCCTAACCGATCAACTGCCAAGATACAGCAAGTACTTCTGGGTGCATGGAAACTAGCCCAAAGTCTGATGACTCGCATTTAATGTGAAAAAATTTCTTCCTTTTATTTTATTATCGGACTTAGGGCATTGTAGAGTAAAATATATCATGAAGTATAAGTACATGTAATTATAATAACTAGCCTTAGCTCACGTAGACGTATTTGAAGACGTAATATTATTCCTGAATCTTTTGATTTATGATTTTAAGTTTAACTTGCCATAAAATAAAGATATATTATCAATATCTAACACTATGAAGCTTGCTCGAAAAAATGTGGTCTTCTGTCGTATCTACTTTATTTAACACCACATTGTGTTCAAAGTTTGTAGATATGTTTTTTTTAATACTTTGAACGATTTATAATAAAATTTCAGGTTCCAAATTCTGTAATATACAAAGAGCAAACTAAATAATGCCTATAGTTATATCTTTTAATTGCAAATATTGACAAGCATTCTCAGAGTGTTGATAAGCAAGTGTTTCTATGAAAAACTGAAAGTGCCGTAATTCTGTCAAGAATTGTCAAAATGGAACGAAGTTCAAGCTGGATCTGTACCTCATCAAAATGCATTCACAAATCATAATCAGCCAAATATCTGCAAACGTTCAGTGGAACAAACAAACAGACGAGAAATAAAGTAGTAGCTAATAATTCCCTCTGTGTTCACCGGAAGGGGACTATTGAGAATTGTAACATCGTTTTATATGAAAAATACTACGAATAAACGTTCAAAAATACATCATGGTATCGATCTCAAATCCTCCCCTTAATCATAAAATCATATACTTGCCATCGATGTTGTTATGAGTCTTTTAGACACCGTAATACCAAATGCTGACATTTAAGATATTCTTTTCTAGGTATATACATTTACTTCCTTATAAAAATACATTGCTCAGATGAGGAAGGAAAGGAAAACAGACCTGACTTAAAGTGTTAGCAAGAAATCTACGTGTTAAAGTGCAAGCTTTGACGGAAGGAACGACGGAATAAACATATTAATGTTAAAAGTTTGAATCATTATTATACAAATTGATTAATGTGTCTTCTGTAATTTTACTGTTACCTTAAAGCGCTTGACTTGATATATAAAACACAGAACAGAAAAAAAGAAATCAATGGACATAAAATAACACCAGATTAAAGTTTAAATAAGACATTTAAGTTCATATAGGAATTCAAATTCAAAGATGTTTTACGCCTCCGTAATTGAAGTTTTGGGGTATATCTTTTTGCCGTGTCCGTCCGTTTGTCTAGCCGTCTGTTTGTCCACAAAAACTTTAACCATGCCCATAACCTTTGATTTTGTGGAGCTATGACTTTCACATGTCACATCTGTATTCCCTGTTACAAACTTTTCCTTGGGTACCAACAAATATGACCTTTTGACCGTGGAATTTAATCCTCTTTTACACAAAATTTCCATAAGTTTACGTTGGTTGACTTTTAAACGGTAGATACGAGGACTTTATACTGCATATATAAATAATCTTTGACATTTTAACCTTGACCTTGGAAATTTTCGATCCTTACTTACATAAAATTAACTTTGGACATATCTTTAGAATGGGAAGGGCTAGGGCATTCATTTTTTACATATGGAATCCTTGTAAAATGACCCATCATTTGATATTAAGAACTTTGACTCTTTGTCTTGACCTTGGGGTTTAACCTACTTTTAAAAAACAAAACTTGACAATGACGTTTGAAGGGTAATGACTAGTGTTTTCTTACTTTACTTACTTAATCCTTGTGACA